TCCGGGGACAGAACAGCTGGGGCACTGCCAGGTAGGTCCCGGCAGGACCAACCCGGCAGCACCCCAGCTTCTCTACCCCAGGCGTCCCGCAACAAAAGCCTGGTCCCGCCGCCTGTGCGGCTTTGCTTGGGTCTCCCTGCTGTGCTGGGGAGTCCCCCCCCAGCACACCAGGGAGGCCCGGAGCAGCTTTTCTCGCCCCGGAGGACGCGGTGGCGGGACCGCTGCGCTCTGGGCGGTCCCGCCGCCCGCGAGCTCCGGGGCGAGAAAAGCCCCGTTCGTAAGTGCGGATCCGACATAAGTCGGATCCACGTAAGTCGGGGACTGCCTGTAATCAACAAGCAAAAGCCCATACTGTGCTGATAATAGAGATGTAAATAACTGTTTTAGCTGATAACTGGTTAACATTATATTTTTCACTCCAGTGAGCAGATGCAGGGCAACCAGGACTTGAGTCCCACCAGCCAGGTATGATAGGGGCTGCGCCACGCCAGCATGCCTTCGATAGCTGGGGCTGTCATCCCACTGACTAAGCGGCCTAAAGTGGCCAGGGCTACTCCAGCTCAGTGGGGCTGACTCGTAAACCTAATGCTTACCGGTTAACCATTTACATCCTTAGCTGAGCACATTTGCCAGACTTTTCAACTATAAGAAGGGACTATGTGAGCAATTCTGCATCTCTGGTCTGATGAATATTAATAGATATTACATCTCTGCTTTCAATTGGACTACAAACTTAGACTTATGTTACGTATTTTACCTGCTTTCTCCTCTCAATAATTCTCATTTGTTTTTCTTAGCTAATACATTTTTAGTTTCTTAGCCAATACATTTTGCTAGAGAAACTGGTGACAGGGTTGTCTTCAGTGAGATCAAGAATATCTATTGACCTGGAGTGAGTGACAGGCTCCTTCAGTGGGGAGTATTCTAATGTGTGGTAGGGATGTAAAATCCTGTTTTATTGGTTAACCAGTTAAATATGATGTTTAACCGATTGTAGAGAGGGAAGTGGGGCGTGTATGTGCTCCAGCCCAGGAAGAGCAGCCCCTGCCTGCAATGTGCCCAGGCCTGCTATGAACAGGGGCTGCTCTAGTCAGGCTGGAGAACCTAGTCTGCAGTGGCACGCAGGCAGCTACAGCAGCTCCCTGCCCTTGACAAGTGGGGAGCTGCTCCAGCCCTCACCGGTTAACCAGAACCGGGTAACTCTTCATATCCCTAGTGTGTGGTGAATTTTGGTTTCAATAAGCATTCGTAATAAAGTCCAGTTTTTTTGGGTGATAAAGAAGGGATGGAGAGATTTTTCAGGAGGCCTTAAGTTGTATTTGCTCATTTGTGCCTCCTTACCCTTCAGTACAGCTCTAAATTGCCCTTCAGTTAATGCTGAAGTGACTATAACAAATATTTCCCACCTTAAAATGTTTTCTTCTGTAACTGATATGTAGTTACAGTCTTGCTACAATATTGTACTATTAAAATCAAAAAAAAAAAAACCTAAAGTGTCTGGAATTGCCAAGGAAAGCTTCCAGATTCTTACTTCTGATCTCCTGTCCTTTCCCACTATATAACCAGGCTTGGCAGACATTTTTATGTTTTTAAATAATTCTGACAGATAATTTTAATGTTTACTTTTAATCTTTAATTGCTTTATTAATTCAATTGTAAAATTATGATGGATGGCAAACAATAAGGAAGGCTAAGATTTAGTCATGGGTATTTTTAGGAAGAGTCATGGACAGGTCATAGACAAACAAAAATTCATATCCTGTGACCTGTCCTTGACTTTCATTATAAATACCCTAACAAAATCTCAAGTGCTTGAGGTAGGAAAGAGAAAATGTCCCAGGGCACCTGTGCTGCTTCAGGGCCATTCTTGGCAATGCTACTGCTCTGGTGGCTGACCCAGCTACTTGGGTGACACCGGGGTCAACTTCACCAGCTGCTGCAGACATCCCAGAGTCACAGTATCTATCCATGACTACTGTGACCTCCCTGACAGACTTGCAGCCTTAACAATAATTAGTGGCAATACATATTAAGATTCAACAAGTTAAAGCTTTATAAGTATTAAAACAGAAAACTGTCAACCTGTCAAAAGATACAAAGTAAATTTCCTTAAATAAATTCTCAAGCTGTATTTTTCTTACTTTGCCTATCTGTAAATTTAAATTATCATTGTTAGAAATACTTTTGCAACAGTTTGTGTATATACAGTGAAATCTACATTTAATGACTTTTCTGATAAAATACAGTCCTTCTAAGCCTACATCTATGATTTACAAGTACATATAAGTGATTATTTTATGGTGTGTTTTTTGTGTACATTTGGAGGAAGATGCAGGTATGCTACATTTCTTAAGGTGCAGTATTTGAGCTATCATTGGGAGCTATACAAGAAAGGATTGAGTGTTATTACATCACTAATATACTTGGCTCTGAGCATCTTATAGTGGAATGGCAGATTTGAGAATCCTTAGCATCACAAGAAGAGGGCTAATGAAATCACCAGAACGTGGGAAGAAAAAGATAAATTCTTGAAATGAGAGGTGTGTGTACTTGCAATGAGGTGCTGTGCAACATCTTCACTAAGTCAATGTATATTGTAACAGGCCAAGGAAGAGCAGTCGCAAATACAAATAAAACAGCTTATTTAGGAAGAAGATTTAGTTAATACTACAATGCTCTGATCATATGGGCAGAAAGTGCTAAAACAGTATAAGATTCTTGCTGTGTGCTGGGTAAGCGAACAAGAAAATTTGATTGGTAACAACAGGTTACTGGGAATGAAGTCACAGAGGGGAGAAATTTGAAAAATCTGCTTGTTGATGAACTAGGAAAGATACTCAATCCAGTGATTTACAACAACCACCATAATTGGAGGCATGGCATTCAGAGTACTTGACAGTAGCTCTGTGAATCAAAGGACTCTACCTTCAAAGTCAGCTATTGCCTTGATAAATACAAGGAATATCTGATATTTAGGGAAAAATCCTATTTGTCTTGTATTTGCAAGTAGTCTCCCGGGTTCCAGGAGACTACTTGCTACAAGTAAAGCAATCCAGATTTGTGTTAGTAATAACCACAGATTATTTAAATATTGCATTTTCAATTCCCATTAAAAGCATCAGGAGCACATTTCTTTCCTTGTCTTTCTGAGAGTCTATTATTCAGGAAGCGCCATCTTGTGGCACTGACATATCACTGTAAAGCACATACTACTAGATTAAAGGTCAAATGCTGATGTTCTAGCTCAGTGGTTCCCAACTTTTTTATACCATGGACCAGCAAACCCATTCACAAACTTTTGGCAAACCATGTTACCAAATAGAATGTTACCAGTCCATCAAAATATGTACCCCAGCCAGAGCCAGCCTTAGGGAAAATGGCACCCTAGACTAACTTGGTGCCCCAGCCCCCCCTACCTCGGGTACTATGCTGCCCCCCCTCCTCTTGGCTGCCATGGACTTCCCCACCCCTGCACCACCATCCTATATCCCCTTTTCCATTAACTCCTGCCTCTCCTGCACCCTAACTCCTACATTGTGCCCCTAACCCCAACAATTTGTCACCTTCACCCCAACCTATGCACAATACCATCTACACCCCAACCCCAGCACTTCCCTCCCACGTGAACCCCCAGCTTCCAGCCATGCATTGCCAGTGTGCCTACCATGTTGCCTTCCAGCTCAGTATCACTCAACACCTTATGCCAGTGATTCTCAAACTTTTTGGCCCATGGCCCACCTGGCTCAATGCAAACCTTTCCGTGGACCACAAGTTGCTAATGGAAACTCGCCATTAGTTACATAATTATGCCTGAGCCATTTTGCTAGTGCTGCAGCTAAGGAAAAGAGTTTTATTAAATCAGTAAGAAAAGAAATATTACTTTAAATTATTAAACAGACTAAGCGCTTTAACTTTCTCATATTAGTTCATCTAAAATGAAGTTTGATCAAGTAAAATATTAATTTATGTCCAACACAAAAGGTTCCCATGTTTTCTTTACTTATGGTAGGGTTGGGGAATCTTTTTTGGCCAGCCCTGACCTGCCACGGCCCCAAGAGCTGCCACGAACAACCAGCTTCAGTTCCAGCAGTCACCACACCTCGGCAACCAGCGATTCACAGCCTGGCACTGGTTTGTGGACCAGCAGTTGGGAACTACTGGTCTAGCTTATGTAAGTAGCCCGGATCAATTAATGGAACTATTTATGTAAGAAGAGTTTGCAGTATTTAAGTGGATGTTCTGATGTCAGTGGACTGCTCCAACTAGATTGGCTCTGAATTTTGTCTCTAATAGCGAGTATGATCCCGGAATCTCATGGTTCCAACTGGCAGAGATCACAGGGGATACATAGAGTTTTACGGGGGTCCCCTGGATCAGATATACGCATAATAATTAACTAAAGGGCAGCATGTGAGGTCTATATGGACTTCCCACTAGCTAAGTATCTGGTTTGTTACACTATATTACGATATCACAGTAAACAGTACCTGTGTCCTTTCATTGCCTTCTGAGAGCAAATGAAGAAAGTATGGAATTGCATTTGTCATCATATGGTGGTAGTCATTGGTAACAGACATATTTGTTAATAATCTAAGTCCAGCTAGCTGCAGATCAGAATTTAAAGGTGATAACTCAATCTCCTTACAGACTTGTAAAATGTATACCTTAAAGAACAGAAAAAGAAATGGTTAAATGTACAAATTGTTAACCAGCCAGAGAAGTTCACAATTTACATCCCAATGTCAGTAGTCAAGAGGACTCAAAAAATAAATCATGATTTCTATCAGCAAGGGGATAAATAAATAAAACAAAGTATAATCAGTCTCTTCTTTCATCAAGAATATTAAGTAAGGCACTAGCAGCTAAATAAACTTTGTAAAATTTTAGCAAAAACTATTAAGGGACACTATCATCTTGTATTTTTAAAAAATAATCTTTAAAAAAATTCAAGTTTTCTGATAGATACCTTTAGACAAGATGTTCTGATTTAAACAAAAAACCAACCAAACAAACAAAAACACACACACCACAAATCAGCTACTCTACATTAATTTACAAGGACCTTTTGGAAAGGCCCAAAGCAATGGCACTGAATGGCTGTCAGACTAGGCATTTATACTATTCCCACCTACACATTTCCTACCCCAGTATTTAAAAACAGAAATGTCTCTTCATTTCCACCCCATACAAAATACAAGAGGTACCTGTACTTGAATCGCTTATAAAGTTTTATATATGTGACAGGGTGCATCTATGGGATAACTTTATGAAGGCAAAGCTAACCAGAAGACATGAGTTTTGCATTTAGTTGCAAAAGTGGTTAGTTACATGGTCATTCTTATCTCTTGTGGAAATGGATTTCATAGTCCAAGTATGGCTCAGAGAAATCCCTTGATCTCTTCTTATTGATCAACAGTTTCCATTTACAGTTGAACACAGGTTTTTGTAAGGGTTCACAGTTGTAGAGGGATAGGTTTGAATTCAACTCTGTATTTAATGGGGAGCCCATGCAGGGTGGAGTAAAACAGCAATCTGTATTGCTAAGCAAATGGGCTGCCATATTTTGTATCAATGGGAGCTTTTTCAGGAAGTGGGAATTGTTCCTAGGGAAGGGTTGCAATAATTAAACCTGGATCACTTTCGTCTGGTCTGTGTCTGAGAGGATCAGACACATTCTCCTGACCTGTTATAAACAGAAGTGTTTGTTCTTGCTACCAGGGTTATTTGAGTACCCAGTAGAACGAGAGAATCATAAACAATCCCAACTCTACAATATGACTTAATCAGACCTGATTAAAAAATGTAAACAAAAACGTTTAAATAAAAAAAAATAAAAATGTTCATGAAATATTTTTTCCTATTTTCCAACTCTAATAATGGAGAAGTTAAAGAGGAGGCATTGCCCTGTTCTTATCAGCATTCCTTCAGTCTTTCCAAGGTTCAACTTTAGGCAGCTTTAGAGTCTGTTTTCTGATAAACACCAGAAAGCAGAGAGATGGTGGTATTAAGATATGACAAAGTAGCTGTACAGTGAGTTGATGTGTGTGTCTTGCCAGGACTGCAGCTTCTGTTGTCTTGCCACTAGGGATGTTAAATTTTAATTAACTAATTGAATAGTCGATGGGATTTCCATCGACCATTCGATTAGTTCATCAGAATTTCTGCGTTCCGTCTTTGAAATGTACAAGAGCCCCAGCAGGGGCTCTTGTGCATTTCAAAGTTGGAACATAGCATGAAGCCTGGGGTCAGCGGGACTCCCGGTGGTATTCCAACTTTGAAATGTACAAGAGTCCCCAGTGGGGGCTCTTGGACATTTTAATGTTGGCCGCTGCTGTGACCCTGCCCCCTCCCACAGAGCTGGAGCAGGGGAAACAAGCTTTAAAGCTGGCTCCCTCCAGCACCTCCCCTTCCCACCCTCCCTCTCCCCCTGCTGCCTCTTTGTGATAGATACCTTTATCTGGCCAGCCTCCTAAAAAATTTACTGTCTGAGGGCGGGGGGAGGAGGAATGCATGTAGACTACAGCATTAACCTATATGTTGTTTTTTTTTAATTGGTTAATTGACTACGCTATTACATCCCTAGTTGGTGAATCCTCCTTTTAATCAATACCTATATTTAAAAGGTTTTTTATTATTTCCTAGCTGTCCATACTTTATGTTGTTCAATTTTGCTCCAGTTATGGTACCTTTTAGTGCACTTACCTTTATCTCTTCTTGATTTTTAACATTCATACTCAAGTTATTAAGTGTGTTTAGTGCTTTTTCTTTAACTTTAGGAATGGAATCTGACAGCATCCTTCCAATAATAGAAAGGCCATCCAAATTTCGAATTATATCCTAAAAGAAAAACAGATACATACATAGGATGTTATTGCTAATCTTAAGTCAAATGGGAATTCTGCCTGAGTAAAACCTCCAGATCTGGTTTCTGATAATTAAGCAAAGAATATCAGTAGTTTAATTTTAACACTTTATATTAATTGTGAAAATTATGGTGCCAATTTATAGAACCTATTTCCTTTATCTCAAAATATTTTTTCTTAGATAACATAAGAACAAATATGACATGTTTCTGCAGCGTCACTCCTAAAATTCTCAAATTTTGTAAAACTATCTGAATTAAGATTGCTCACTTCTAGAATGGGAAAGAAGCATCAGTTATGTTTTGCTTAATCCAACTTAAACAATTGTGTGGGGTTTTTTTGTTTAGCATAAGAAAATGTCATCAACAGGTCATATTTTGGTTTAGATACTCTACTTCCATTGAAATCAGTGGGTACCTTGCTTAAACATTTGAGGTTAGAATATGCCTAATATCTGAAAATAGCAAACTCTCTAAATTGTGATCAAAATTGGCTAGTGAAAGATGAGAGATGTTTCAGACAAGTGACAATGAGTGTACATTAATTTTAAATGGACAGCTTGCCCAACCCTTCAAGTCCTCCATGTCAGAATTCCCCTTTGAATTCAGTAAGATTTCAGCATGCAGGTTTGCATAATCAGGTTGAATGTTATGATTAGCAGGTTCTAAAACTTTAGCTTTGTTTCCTTATCTTTACAAAGTTAAAATTCTTTCAGTTTTTTCAGTTACAGACTATCCCTCCGAGTCTGATATTTTTGAACAGCAACCTTCTGCCAAAAATCCTATTTCCTCCTCCCCAAAACTGAATTCACCAACATTTTTAGTTCTCTTTATGAAAAAGGACCTCATGACATCCCAGTCACTGTAATGGGTGTGTGGGAGGAGGGAATAAAGATTTTACAAAAGAAACGATAATTTAGTTTCTCATTAGAAGCCAGAGAATAATTGAGATACTATTGTTATAATTATGAGAAATCCTGGGAACAGGGCCAATTACCGCGGGGGGCAGAAGGGGGGGGGGGCGGGATGGAACCACCTGGGAACTGGGCTGATTACCATGAGGGGTGGTGGATGAAGGCCATTCATTAACCAGGCTTGAGCCCCACAGCACAAAAGGCTTCAGCCCTGCGGGGAGGGCCTCCTGGGAAGGGGGCTGCAGCCAACGATGGGTGTGCTCAAGAAAGGGGTTCCAGTGCTGGGGGAATAGAGAAGGCAGGAGGAGTCAGGGCTTCAGCCCCATGTTCCTGAAAAGCTGGCAGAATTTCCCCCTTCTGTAGGGTGCACAGGGAAGGAAGACACTCATACCTGGTTTCTCTCTCAGGCAGAGGTGCTGACACCACACACCATGTGTTTTACTGTGGCCACAAATATGAGGCTGCTGTAGCTGTGCTGACTGGGGAACTCAAGGACCTGCAGGGGCGTGCAAATATGGGACATTTTGTGCACACACTTTTTTTTTTAAAGTGACGACACCTGGGAGACAGCTTAAATACAGGGCAGTCCCAGTAAAAACGGGACAGATGCTCACCCTCCTTCAACAACAAAAGTGTAGAAGCTTGAAATAACCCTTTGCGGGTACAGGAAAACATACATCTCACAAAGAAATCTGACATATTGAATTCCCAAAGGAATACCCTGATAGCAAAGGGGTTAGACGTCACAAATTTAAGGTCTGATAATGGCAGTAGTGGTCTACAGCACCTCTCAGATCAAACTCTTCAGTTGGCATTATAAAATTGTTAGTGATAACGCACATATGTAATAGTGCTTTGAAAATATGAAGCTCTGTACCAACATTAGTTATGCTCATAACAGCCCAGTAGTTATTATATCCATTGTAATGATGCCAAAATTACAGCTGAGAGATTAAACAATTTAAACAAGGTCATGTTGGTCCCAAGCCTCTCAGTTATTTGAGTGCCTAACACCCTTTTAAATCCACAGGAGTCTGGCTCTTAAATACCTTTTAGGATCTGCCTGAGAATCACAATTTAGGATTAGAGCACAGGAGTTTCTTGTTCTCAATCCCACAGTTACCCCCCTGCAATGATGACTCATTTTAAAATACAACTGCTTTCTTTAGAACATTACTTACTTGATTTACAGAGAAGGCAGCACTGTTGCTCAGAGTGACTAAGGCTTGTTCTTGAATTAATGGATCATCTGTGGACTCAAGCAAATGAATAAGTCTCTGTAGATGATGGGCCTCCAGGTTACTGGATGATTTTGGAAGATCCGTGTCTGTCAAGGTTTAAAAATTATTTCAAATCAAATCTGAAACATTTCACTGAACCAAAACTTTTACAGAGCTATGTTACAGCCATGTACTTATGGAAAGCATGCCAATTCTAGGTCACGTAATTCCAAGATTCACTGATCCACCTATGATATTATGGCAGAGCCACCGCAATACCAGAGAAGGCTGGCTTCTATTTTGCATTTAAAGCAGGATTTCAATGTGTGTATTTTTAAAAAGAAAGCATCTGCCCCAAATTTTCAGCATGTAATCTGAGGAAAGCCTGATTTGAGGATTTAAGTAAAACTATTACGTAGTTTCTGATTTCTATTCAATTTAAAAAAATTTTTTTAAATAATGTTAACATTCTGAGTTGCATGACTTTGAGCCCCCATAGTTTCAAAACTACAAAGTGTAGAAAGTAAAATAAAAGTTAGAATGGGGTTACATAATTATGTTGCTAATTCACAAAGAAATAATTCTATTAGCATTATTCATCCTGATTGGATCCTTATTCAATGCAGTTATCCAATGGCGATTTTTTTTTAAATGTCTGCTACTTCCATTTCTGCCATAGAATGTGGCAACTTATTTGGGCAACTTGGGAGAAGAGTAGAAAGTTTCCTTTTTACTTATATCTCCAGTAACATTCCTACTAGAATTGGGAAAGAACATGGTGAATAAAGAATAAGATAATCCAGCAGCATCTGAGCGGAACTAAAGATCTTTGATAAGGCAACAGCTGCTGCATTAAGGTTATTCTTCTTCATGAAGACACTTAGCCAACAGAAGAGCTCTGCGCTTATGTCAGTTTAACACACAAGTATCATGTAATACCTAGTTTTCATTAAAGCAAACACTATTGATGTCAAAGATAGTGATCAGCCAGTTCAGGAGTGAAGCTCTTGAGCAGGGAATACAGTTTTATAAAGACAAGGATTTGTGAAAAAGAAGGGATACTCTAATTTAAATACTAAAATTTCGTGAAAGTGACCGGCTCAACTCAGAAGCAGTCACTGTTCTTCAAGAAAGGATCCTTTGTTCTGTTGGAGATTCTCCTGGTTAGCATTTTTTCTCATTACCGTGTCCTTATGCACAATGGGTAGCCATTGAATATGAAAAAGGTGTTTTGTTTTTGTTTTTTAAAGGTCCTGGACAATTCTAAAATTTTCAAATGTCACTTAGGCATCTAACTCCAGATATAGGTTCCCTGATCATGCAATTAGAATTCCATGGAGAATTCCTGATAATTGGTGGACCTCCATTGACTTCAAAGGCTCCACATAAGAGCAGGTGTCTGCCATCCAGATCCAGTTGCAGAATCAAGGCATTAGCCACTTAAACAAAATAAAACCTCTGACTTTCAGTACTAAGTAGCTACAAATCCTACTGACTTTTGCGGTACTGGTGAAAGCGTAAACAGATAGTCATGCTTTAAAAAGATTTCACAGCAAATACTGCCTTGTAGCACTCTCACTAAATTGCTATTATCCTGAACAGGTCCAGCCTCAGGAACTAGGCTGTTGCCTTTGGCCCCACAAGTCAAGGGCTCCAAATTGCCCGGTACCTGCCTGCTGCCTTGGCTGGAAGCCACTTGGTCAAGCTCCGCAGCCAGCAACAGTGTGACACTTTGGGTCCTGTTAACTCTTTGGCCGGGCCTGATTCTGAAGCCTATTTTCCTACATTTTTACCAATATCAATTATGTTCTGAAAACAGTGACATCACTTTAACTATAAAAATGGAAGATAGTCACAGCTGAAGTGCCAAACTATGTCAAAAGTGTAACCTGAAATTCTCATGAAAAACAGAGCTAAGGAAACCAAACCAATGCAGTCCCATTGCACAGAAGTTAGACAAATCTAGACTCCCATTAGAAATGCCAACACATTTTCTACTGGTGTCCAAATTCAGTCCCAGTCTGTTTCTTTCATCGTTATTTATCTCATCATTATTAAAAAGACGTAGACTGTAAAGATCTAAAAGGTGGTTAACATATTACTGCCAGGAAGTCAGAAATGCTAACATCCAATAACGCAAAAGAGGGTCCCCTCACTCGCCTAAGCACACAGCTCTGTGCTCTCTGCTAACGCCTTATGCAGTGCTGTTACACCAAAAGTCACTATTACAAACTCTAGATTTCACCGGCAATACAAATGTTGAAAAACTCCCCTGGCGCGTGTCAGCCACTGTTTTAGACGAAGCCTCTGCTAGTGGGAGCGAGGCCGGATGCTGACAGTCTGCTCCCCCCTGCATCTCACCTGGGTGGAGGCTGGAAGGTGCCCCCCAGGCACGGCTGGGAAGGACAGAAAGCCCGGAGACCTGAGGCAGCAAACCACCGTCTTGGGCTGGCCGGGCTGCGGCTCCTGCTGCCCTCCTACTCCTGTACAGCCTGTAAACACAATAACACACGCCAGCCCCCAGCACGAGCCCTGCCGCTACCGCCCGCCTGGCATTCCCCATGCGCCCCTGGTGCCCCCCTCGGCCAAGCGCCGCGTTCCTCAACTAAGCGAAAACGGGACCCTTCGCTCCTCTCCCCGCAAACTCTCAGCAGCCGCTGAGTTGCAAAACTCCCCTCCGCTGACGCGCTGCTACTGAGGAAGAATTTAGGGTCACTGAGCATGCTCAGTAGTAGCTCTGCTGAAGCCCCTGCTCTTCGCCCTGCCTCTAGGGCAACTTTCTGCTGAATACACTTTACAGGGGATTAAAAAGAGAAAAGGGCTTAACAGAGGAGATGGGGAGGGAAGCAACTACAGGCAGGGTTAGAATCGGTGCAGGGGCAAAATCAGGGCTAGTGGGGGGAGGAGCAGCTGGTAAACTCTGCTGCAGGAGTAACACAGAGGGAAAAGCCCCAACACAGGCAGGGCAGAAGGGGGGGTAAAAAAAAAGGGGATGTGAAGGGGGGGGGGAAGGAGGCTGGGGTCCGAGCAGAGGGCAGAAATGTACTGACCTGGGGGATCAAACTTCTTTGGGGTGAGGCAGAAGTGGGGTGGAGGGGAAAAAATCAGGAAGGGGAGTGGGAGCTGGGGTTTAGCTCACGGGGGAGACGCTGTCAGCCTCTGAGTGGGGACTTTGTCCCCACAGAGTAAGGGGCAAGTGGGATAACAATTACCACTGGACTCCATGCAGCACTGCTGCTTTGAAACGTGCATTTGCTTAGTCTACTAATCATTCACATCCCTAGAGCTGTGTAGGAGCACAAGGCAGCTTCCTGACTGTGTTCTTAAAGGTACAGCTGTTCTAATTAATTGGTTCTCACTGCTAGTCCCCCACTACCCTTCTCTATCTGTACTGCTACAGGCACAGAAGACAAAACATTGTAAAACATCCAAAATGCAGCATTTGAGTATTTAAAGGACATTTATTAGTCCCCCACCCTACCCTTCCTGGTCCCTAGTCCTGAGTGTCTAGGAGACTGGAAATCTAGGTGAACAGTGGTCAATGCTTTGCTGGTGAAACCCAGTCACAGAAGCCTGTCTTTAATATAGGCCTTTGCCTGCATTTCACTAGCCAGCTCTGCCCATTCAGTATGCTGACATGAAGTCTCATAACAATTCACAAATTTGTCTTATCCGCTGCTGTGATTCCCTGAATTGCACTCCCATCCTTGTAACCTATTTAAGTATAGTGTGCAAATATTATTTCTTTTACTCTGTGCAATGCATGTTATTATACTATTTGTTTTTATTTTAATAGCTAATGATCAAAAATATTTAAATAAAAAGTAGTTACTAAGTTTAGCAATTATTTTTGTGATTCTCTTACAGCACTTGCTAAATTTTTTTATTATTGTTATAACATTGTATTCTTGGTGAATGAGGGTATAATATCCAGCTTGTCAGCCTAATGAAAAACTTTACCACTGCCCCCCTCTGTCTTTGCTTAAACCAAAACCAATCAGAAGACACAGGGGAAGACACACCTAAACCCCTCTGAAAGCAACCCTAGCCTCATGCACATAAGTATAGAATGGAGGACAAAAAGTCCAACACAAAAACCTCACTGAACTCTGGGACACAGAAAGCAGGGAATCACTGCCTGTTGGGAAATCCCTGCTCCAGATACCAATGACCCTCACCTACACACACCAAGATCAGTAATTATCAGATCAATTCTAGGAAAAAGTCTTCTGTATCCAAAATACCGATACTGCCTAATTGCATAATGAGGCCCCTCTAAGGCAGGTATGGAGAACTATAGCCCACAGGCTGGGAAGGTCTGGACTCCCTCCCAACCCTTGCAACAGGGCAACCCGGCATTGGTGTTCCAGCCATGTTGGGGAGAGGCTCCAGGGCTTGGTTTCCACTCCTTCCCTGTGTGTCTGGAACACCAGCACTATCTTGTTCTGCTGCAAGGGGGCAGGGGCTGCTGAGCCTCATAGGCTGGATCCAGGCATGGACCTCAGGTGAATACCCAGCTGGAAAAGGCAACACCCAGCCCCACCCGCTTCTGCCTGAGGCCCTGCCCCTGGAGCCAAGCCCCACCCACCCCCAGCCCGATCCTGCGGCCAAGTGGAGAGCCGGGGCTATTGTGATGCCCCCGGCCCGGCCCTCCCCGTCGGCTGGGGAAAGCCACGCTGCCCCATCTCCTTCCCGCACCCAGCAGCCAGGCTTCTGAGCTGAGTTGCCTTCTCTGGTGGCTGGGGGAAGCTGGGCTGCCACACCGAAGTCCCAGCCTTCCCTGGGGGCCATGGAGAGCTAGGCTGCTGTGCTGCGGTTCCAGCCTTCCCCGGTGGCGGTCCCAGCCTTAGGCAGTCAGTCTTGTCAGCAGTTTGGGGAAGACTGTACCTCCCCTTGTCTACATTATGGACCACCCATGGATCCAGGAAAGCCACAGGCTGCAATCTCCAAAGGGTTTTTTCGCAAAAACAAGCAGTGTGGCCTTTTTTTTTTGTTGCACAAAATCCCCGTTTTGCGCAAGATCCTTATGCCTCTCCCAGAATTTTGCACAAAAAAACCCCCATCCACACTGTTTGTTTTTGTGCAAAAACCCCTTGAATAAATTATGCAAATCAAGCACAGCAATATACTAATCTGTGCTTCATTTGCATGGGCCCTTGCAGCAAAAGCCGCAGCGTAGACATAGCCAAAGGGTAATAAGAACACATTCTGTAGAAAAGACCAAGAACAGGCCCATTCATTGAGGGGGAAACAATAACAGAAAGTGAGGAAGTGGCAGAAGTGCTTAATTAATTCTTTATTCTGGTTTCACCAACAAGGTTGATGGTGATTGGACACTTAACACAGTGAATGCCAGTGGCAGTGAGATAGGATTAGAGGTAAAAATTACTTAGATAAATTAGATGTCTTCAAGTCATCATGGTTTGATGAAGTGCATCCTAGAATACTCAAAGAGTTGACCAAAGAGGTGTCTGAGCCATTAGCTATTATCTTTGAAAAGTCATGGAAGATGGCAGAGGTTCCAGAAGACTGGGAAAGGGAAATTGCCCTGCAATCTATAAAAAGGGAAATAAGGACATTCATTTGTGTAACAGAGTGTAGTTAACAGTAGTTTATAGTCATGCTGGAAAGCATAATGAGTGGTGTCCTGCAGGGATCAGTTCTAGATACATTTCTGTTCAAAATCTTCATCACTGCTTTAGATTGGCGTGGAGAACCTCAGGCCCAGGGGCTGAACGCGGCTCCTAGCCTGAATCTGCCTCCCAAGGCTCAGAGCCCCCTTTCCCAGCATTGGGAAGTCCACACTTTCTGCTGCCCCACCACGGGATGAGGTTTACCAGGGTGGTCGACAAATACCTTTGATGTCGCCACCCGCGCGTCCAGACTATCGCACTGAGCTGACAAACAGCTGATCAGCTGTTTGTCAGCTCAGCGCGGCAGCCATGTAAATTTAAATGAAGCGGCGACTATTTAAATCGCCGCTTCATTTTATTATGTCTGGTAGCCTAATCTACATGCCTCTGGCGACAGAGGCATGTAGTCTAGACGTACCCTTAGTGTTTTACAATATCAGTCTCTTACACTTTAAACATATGTAACTGCTACTTGTAGGACTGTGCTACTTGTAGGACTGTGCTGTCTTATGATAGCAGTTTCTTACAATCAAACGTATCAGTAACTGCTACCAGCACAATCTTAGAAGGAGCAGTTCTATGCAAAGATCTGTGTAGCTATGTCTAAACTACAGCCCTCTTTTGAAAGAAGGATGTAAATTAGGCAGATCGAAAGTGCAAATGAAGCAGGGATTTAAATATCCCGTGCTTCATTTGCATAATTGCATCACAGTGTTCTTTTGAAAAAGGGTATTTCGAAAGTGAAACCGCTGTCTAGATGTGGTTCTTTCGAAAAAAAACCAACCCTTTTTCGAAAGATCCTGTACTCATTTTTCAAAAGAGGGATGTAGTTTAGACATCCCTTATGTAACTGCTACCTGTAGGACTGTGGTCACCAATCCGCTGATCCAACCAGTCGATTGCGAGGCCTCAACCAGTCGATCATGAGACGTTCCAGGTCCCCTATTTTCCCCTACTCCCAAGAAGCCCCACTACCTACCTCCAGCAACAATGGAGGTAGTGGCGGCTTCCTGCTGGGTGGACGGAAGTCCTGAGCTGTGCATCACTTCTGGGGGTTCCGGAAATGCGATGGCTGCTTCCTTGCTCCAGGTCTGTGGCGTGCCGGGAGCTTACTGGGGGAGTCCCCAGAGGCACACGCTGGGACTTCCCTTCTCTGCGGGAGGGGGAGAGTCAGCCCTCAAGGAGGCATGTGCGCGGGCTTCCCTGCTCCGCGGGAGGGAGGAGTCAGCCCTGGAGGGGGCACATGCGCGGGCTTCCCTGTTTCATGGGAGGCGTGCGCTGGCCCCGCAAGAGGGGTGCAACAGAGCTTCCCTCCTCTGCAGGGGGAAGAGAGGGAGTCCTGGGAGGCACCCTGCGTCCTGCTGCAGAACCCTGTCCCCTGCACCCACTGGCACCCTGTCCCCTGCTCCAGCACTCACTAGCACCCTTCCCCAGTACCATGTCCTTTGCTCCCACCAGTACAGTTGGGGCCACATTAGTGAGGCTTGGGGAGTTTTGGAGGAGTTATTTTTTTGCATCTCACTTGTGTGGCCCCAACTGACTTTTCTGTGGGTCAGTGACCCCTGACTCAAAACAGGTTCCCCACCCTTCTCATAAATAAAGACAATGTAGAAACTTTTTGTGTTTGACATAGTATTTTATTTAAAAATTAAGCCTGGCCAACAACCCCCAATTGGGGCCAAGCCCCCATCTGGCCACAGCATCATAGCACTCCTGCATCCCCCTTTCTCCCAGACCCTAGATCTGAGCCTATCATACACTAGAATCCTTTGCCCTGAGCCCCTCACATACCCCAACCCAAATTCCTGCACCCTCACATCCACAAGCCGGTGGCTTGCTTAGTACCCCAACCCTCCATTTGACCCCTACACTGCCCGGCCTGGAGCCCCCTCCCCAAACCAGCATCCCCTTCTCCAACTCTTCCTGCATCCATCTTTCCTCACAGAGCTTGCATCTTTCACCCCTTCCCACACCCAAATCCCTCATTCTCACCCCAGAGCCTACACATCCTGTCTTAACCCAGCGAGGGTACAGCTAGACTGCAGGAGTTTTTCAGGATTCCAGAGATATCCCAGAAAAATTCTTCTGCATCCAGGGATGT